TACAGCGATCAGATCCAGTACCTCCCATTCGGTCCATGCTGGAGCTCTTTTGCGATTCTGGGCCTCCATGGTCATCTGTGCTGATGAGCTCTGTATGGTCACCTGTGCTGATCAGCGCGCCACGCTGGCCAAACAGGAAATGAAATTCAAAAGTTCCTGGGGCTTTTCCTATCTACCTGGCCAGTGCATCTGAGTTGAGAGTGCTGTCCAGAGCGGTCACAATGGAGCTCTCTGGGATAGCTCCCGGAGGCCAATACCATCGAATTGCGTCCACACTACCCCAAATTCAACTCAGCGAGGTCGATTTTAGCGCTAAACCCCTCGCCGGGGAGGAGTACAGAAATAGATTTTAAGAGCCCTTTAAGTCAACAAAACAGGCTTGGTCGTGTGGACGGGTGCAGGGTTAAATCGATGTAACACTGCTAAATTCGACCTAAACTCGTAGTGTAGACCAGGGCCAAGTGTTGAACACAGAGTATGCTGAAGCTGGCATTCCTCCTACTGAGTCTGGTGAGTCTCCAGCTTTTCACACAACAGCCAGCCCAAAGACTGGATCATCCAGGACCTGTGGGCTGGAGATTGAGATAGTTCACCAGCTGGTGTCTGAGGAGGTAGGGAACAACTAGGTTTTACAGGAAAAATGCCCAGCTGCAGTAGCAAGATGGTTTCTTGGGAGCCATAACAGGTCTATTAAAAGAACAATAGTTAAGGCTAAGATTATGTCACGGAGGTTGCGGAAGTCACGGAATCCGTGACTTCCATGACCTCCATGACATTGGGGGCCCCCGCACCTGACCAGCCGCTCTCTGCAACGGGAGGACCCTGGAGCAGCCCAGCCTCTGTGAGAAGGTGCAGGTGGTGGGTGCCACCAGCGGCTCCGACCCCTGAGCTGTCCAGCCACCACTGCTGGCAGTGGCTCAGCCGCCGCAAGCAGCCAGGGCCCCCCTGCAGCTCCCAGCTGCCAGTGGCGGCAGAGGGACCCCGGAGCTGCTCAGTGGCTGTGGGCGGGGACCTCCCCACAGCTCCCAGCTGCCAGTGGCGGCAGAGGGACCCTGGAGCTACTCCCCAGCCTCCGCCACTGGCTGGGGTCCCCCTGCAGATACTCTGCCACTACAGGTGGCGGCAGACCCCCCTGCAGCTTCCAGCTACGCAGGGCGGCAGGGGGACCCCTCGCTCCCACTGGGCAATAGGGTCCCTGCAGCTCCCAGCTGCTGCAGGGGCGGGTAGGGTGCTGGACCCTCCTGCCTCCCCATTTCGTAAGAGATGTTTTGAGTAAAAGTCAGGGACAGGTCACAGCTTCTGTGATTTTTTGTTTATTGCCTGTGACCTGTCCTTGACTTTTACTGAAAATACATGACAAAATCATAGCCTTAACAATGGTAAAACAGCTTCTGCTCCCTGCAGAGCTCATCTGCTTCTTGGTTCTTTGCTTGGATCCCTTTCCTCCCTGTAGCGCACGTTGACCCTCAGCTCTGGCTCTCAGCTGACCCCTGCCTCTCCATCCCCTAGGCAAACACTCTAGAAACCTTTGCATCAGGGACTGTCACATTATATGTTTGTGCATCTTGTCAGCTGGTCATGGGTGAACCCGATTAGACCCAAGGCTTTCCTGTGACTGGCTGATGTGATGTTAAATATGAATAATCCCTGCCTATACTGAAGGTAAAGTTGTGTTTTAATATCTTATTTAACATGACTCCTTAAGACTGTGTTCTACCTCAATGTAATTTTCAAGTCTTTGGGGTTGGTGGGGCTGATGGACACTCCTCCTGCCTCCAGTCTTGGAGGAGACATCAAGGAGGAGCCACTGTCCACCATTCCCCTAAGTCCCAGAGCTGGAACAATATATTCAGAAGTAGAGCTGCTGTCCTTCCCCCCCCTGTTGAAACCTAAGCCAAGCTGGCACACTGACCCAGCAGGGCATAAGTTCAGCCTTTTATAGGCAGAGCCCAGTGAAGCCTCACTCACCAGTGATTAGTAATAACAGACTTTTCCAGCACAAGACTGTCAGTAATATAAATTCATCTCGCTACGGTTGGGGTTATGGGTATGTGTTTGGGTATGATTTTGAGCTGCTGGGCATGTACATTGTTGGTGGTTGTAGGTTGGAGGTGATGTGCATTTTGGATGTGAGAAATGAGTATGTCTCTCGGCCATGATTACGGCTCTACCAAATTCACGGCCATGAAGAATGCGTCACGGACCTTGAAATCTGGTCTTTCCCTGTGAAATCTGGTCTTTCATGTGCTTTTACCCTATACTACACAGATTTCACGGGGGAGACCAGCGTTTCTCAAACTGGGGGTCCTGACCCAAAAGGGAGTTGCGGGGGTGGGGGTCGCAAGGTTATTTTAGGGGGATCGTGGTATTGCCAGCCTTACTTCAGTGCTGCCTTCAGAACTGGGCGGCCGGAGAGTGGTGGCTGCTGACCGAGGGCCCAGCTCTGTAGGCAGCAGCACAGAAGTAAGGGTGGCAATACCATACCATGCCATCCTTACTTCTGTGCTGCTGCAGGCAGCGGCTCTGCCTACATAACTGGACTCCCAGCCAGCAGCTGCTGCTCTCTGGCCACCCAGCTCTGAAGGTAGCACCACTGCCAGCAGCAACGCAGAAGTAAAGGTAGCAGTACCGCAACCCCCGTCCACAATAACCTTGCAATCCCCCCACAACTCCTTTTTGGGTCAGGACCCCTACAGTTACAACACTGTGAAATTTCACATTTAAATATCTGAAATAATGAAATTGAGAACTTTTAAAATCCTATGACTGTGAAATTTACCAAAATGGACTGAATTTGGTAGGGCCCTAGCTATGACTTTTGAGGGATAAAGCATGTGACTGTAGTTGGTCTGGATGTTAATATTTTAATAACATGAATTTCTAGGTTTGTAGTGTTTGCATTGAAAATAAATATTCTTCTGCCACTATAACTGTAGACGCATAACGCTTTTGGTGTGGAAATAATATAAATGTTCATCTGAGGAGGTAGGCAGTAAGTACAAGAGGAGGGGACAGCACAATGCAAACGTATTCATCATTCTCATACTACAGATGGTAATAAGATGTGGAATGATGTACCTATGCTACCCTAACTATAGCTCTTAAATATTACATAGTATCTTTCTCTGTGGCTTGTTATTCATCAGTGTTGCCAAGATATTAGCTGCTGTGCTTCATGAAATGTTTGTATGAATGCTGCACTATAGAATTTAGTTACAGTGGTAACACTACTGAGTGCTCAGAACCTTCATTTTCATCCTGAGATATTACTTTAAAATACAGTTGTAAACTGGTGGATCAGCTCCCCATCTTGGGACACACCCAATTTCATTTGTAGCCCCTTCCCCAGGGCTCTGTTTATTCTCCAGCATAAAACAAAAGTATCAGCCCTGTTCTTGACTGAGGTTGTGGGGCCACTTCTGGTAACTGAAGGCTCTGGACCTCCGCAGCCTACCAGGGGGGAGGAGTGGTCTGAAGGGCCTGCTTGCCCTCTTGCAGCCTTCTGCTGCAGCCACAAAAGAGTAAGCTTTCAGTGCGCTCTTGGTTCCCAGCCCCCTTATGGAGTTGGGGCCTTGCTTTATACCCTCCAGCTGGAAATCTGACCCAATAACTAGGTGTTGCTCAGTTGGGCCTGGGTCAGTAATTCCCAGCACCGTCCTGCTGGTCTTCCCTCCAGAAGAGGGCTCTCTGTTGTCTGTCACTCCTGCCCATCGAGGAAAGGTCTCAGTAGCAAGCCTCCCAGACCTGGTCTACAGACCTGGTCTATCAGGGCTCATGCTAGCACTCCAAAAATAGCTGTGTAAACAGCATTTTGTAGTTGCAGCATGGGCTGAAGCTCTGACTTGGAAGCCTCAGGAGGGGTGTGGGCTTCAGATCCCCATGGTATTTTTAATAAAATTTAACATATATCATACAAAATCTAACATACCGTAATGGGCCATACTGCAAAAAGATTATCATTTGGAAATTATTCTAGTTTGTGAGAAATGTCAATCCTAATTCTAGAAAACGGTTACTGTCTTTTTACAACAAAAGGCATAAATTAATCTGTTTTATTATGAGCGCTGCTGCCACCAACTCCCAGAACTCCCACATTAATCAAGAGTCAGATGAAAATCTCTGCAGTTTTCTTGTTTGTTTGCATGTTTGTTTGTTTGTTTGTTTTTTAATAGTTACTGATAATGAAACTGCCACTCTCAATCTGTAGACCATAAAATGAGGAGAAATTGATCCCTTCCATATAAATACAGAAGGCTATCTTTTAGTTTATGTCCACATATGTTCTAGTTTAAGCCTAATTGTAACCTATGTAATGATATTTCAACTATAATTTTCTTCTGACATCTTGAATCTTTTCTCTCACAATGCACTAGGTTATAGTGAAAGATTTATTTTAATTGTGTAGCTTTGATATTTTAAATAAATTTTAACATCATACAAAAATAGAATTTCCATTTCTAAATTCAGTATCTTGGAGGTAATCAAAGTGAGTTTATTGTCCAGCTCTACCCTTTTCCAGTACAGATAAAATTGGTTAACAGATTTTTTACATATGGATATTTATTTTATTAAGGATATAACAAACTTTAAAATGATTGCATGTATCTTTGTGGTGACATTAAAACTTAGTGAATATTCCTACATTCTTTTCATTGCTTTTACATCTGACCTCACATTCACAGGTTTTTGTTGTTGTTGTTGCTATGTTCATTATCTGGCTGTACAGATCATTTACTTTTCAAAAACACATTTTTTTTCAAGTGCATGTCCTTGTGCTTTGTGTTGTCCTTGTTAAAACTGTTATGTATGTTTCCAGCACTATCCTTTGGCCTAAAGCTGGCAGTCCGTTATCAGACGGCTTGTGGAGGTTAGTTTTTTTTGGTGGTTTTGTAGGTTCATATACATCTAGTAGAAATTTAATGAAAAATAGAGAAAGAATAGAGTATTTAATTTTGTAAAATAAACAAATGGTCTCTTATAAAATAACTTCTTTCTTGCAGAGTGCTCATTTGGCCATGATTGATACCCTGATGATGGCATATACAGTAGAGATGGTCAGTGTTGAAAAAGTGATTGCATGTGCTCAGCAGTATTCAGCCTTCTTCCAAGCCACAGACCTGCCCTATGACATTGAGGATGCTGTCATGTACTGGATAAATAAGGTATGAACAAAGCAAACGTATGCTTAGATTGAAAAGACAAATCAACGTGATTCTGCAGCCATGAATGGAATTTATGTATATTCCAGACTTCATCTAACATAGGATGTTCATTGTTCACTTTCAGCAAGGATAAGAAAAAGGTAAGTTTTCATAATCAATTAAAACGTTATTGAAATAAAAATTTTGACTGCAGTGTAGAGTATGAAGAAAAGAAAAGAATGTAAGAGAGAGATGAAACCTGACCAGTTACTGATGAATTTTGATGACATGATAAAGTTGTGGATAAATCATTTAGCAGAACCTATAGATATCCTTGGCTTTCTCTAGTGTAAAGGAACCCAGTTGGAAACTGGGGTCTCTGTTGTACCTAAACATATATTGAGTATGAGGTTTTCAACCTGATTACTTACTACATAATAAACAAAATTTTCAGATATAATAGTAGCCTATTGTAATAAAATGTACCTGTCAGCAGCCAGCATATTCAGAAACAGATCTCACGCCGCTGCCAAATCTGCTGGTACAGATGGCCCCAGATTTTTGTTTCAGTTCTGTCTGATGTGAAGTAAACATTGCTTCATGCTTTCAGAGAGTCCTATGATGGTGATAATTTAGTAGCCCCTGAAAAATTGTTATTTCTCCCTTTTATATTGGTCATAGCTGGGGCATATCACAGGTTCCTTCTCAACATGTTTAACTGGCAACCTCAATCCAGCATTCCCTAAATCAGGGATTCCCAAACTTTTTACTAAGGAGACCCACCAGCTGCATTTTGTCTTTTTCTGCTACCCACCCAGGGTCCAAAATTGTGGGAAAGCCCAAAATCATAGGCCAGCATCCTTCTCCTTGCCTCACTGAGGGGGCACAGACCAACTACAGCAGCGCCCTCCACCCTGGAACTGCGACCCTAATGCCAGCCTGCTGCAGCAGGGAGACCGGGGGGGAAAGGGGGCCCAGGGATGAATGGAAAGTGAGCCTGCCTTACACTCATGCTGATGCGGCAGGTCCTGTTCTGTGGGTTTGGGCCCAGCTCCCCACCCTGGGTATTGCAATGGTGCATAGGATCATAGCAGCACTCAGGTTTGGCCCAGCTGCTCCTCTGCCAGGTTGTAATATTTGGAGCACAGAAAGTCAGGCCCAGTCCAGTGGAACTGCAGGGTGAGTGTGGGGCAGGCTCACTCTCCAGCACGTGCACATGTGCACAGATGCCCTTTGGGGCCTCCCCTCTACATCAGGTCCACAACCCACTGAGAACCTTCCCTTGACTCAGTGGTGGGTTGGGACCCACCAGTTGGGGAACAGAGCCCTAACTCTCTCCATAAACATACACTGATTCTAGGACAAAGCATCATCATCTTAGGTGTTTGGGGTAGATAAGGTTGGGGGGAGGTGGGGTTGGATAATGTTACACCCTGAATCTTGAGCCTTGCAGCCAGGGTCCAATTTCATGTCTTTGATTTGGGCCCTAGGTTGGTTTCAACAGACCCTGATCTTATTGACTATCATGTTTCAGTTGTAAACCCAGTCAGAGGACTGCTTCTTTTAAAAACAGAATAGGTCATTTGAAAAATTTGTCTCTTTAGGTAAATGAACATTTGAAAGACATTATGGAACAGGAACAAAAACTAAAAGAGCATCATAGTGTAGAAACTCCAGGAGGTCAAAAGGTAGGTGTACAAGTTTAAATATTTAACTGTGAGGATGCGCATACATATGTAAACAAGACTTACTTTTGTACAACATGTAAAGTTACATTGTAAATTCTTTATTAAATCTAGCCAACACTACAGTTGAATTGAGCACTCTAATGGTGCTCAGTACCCAACACCAAATGTTTCTGGGGATTCCTGGTAATCTTAGGAGCATTTTGCTTTTTAACAAGCCAAAACAAGCACATATGAACACTGCTGTAGTCCTGATATGTCTGCTGAGAGCAGGGTGTACAGTATGTTAAAGTAAGAGAGAAGGCTTTTAGTTCAAAATTGCAACAAGCTATCAAAGTTTCACTTCTTCAATTAAATCATTTTAAAAATGAGTTTCATACTTTGCGTTCCCTGTGGTCCTCTTTGCCAAAGCAAAGTTTGACAATGTGGAAAGATCTTTGTGGCAATATACATATGACACATTAGTCCTAAGAACAGTATATAATAAATACTACTTTAAAAAAAAAAGGGGGCTACAGACACATCTAACTCTTAAAAAGCAACATACATTTTTAGAAGTTCTTTTTGGCATAGCTTTTAGATATCTCCTTTCTATTACATAGTTGCTTTTTTTTGAAAGATTCTAATAGTGTGGAATAGCAAGAAGCATCACTTTGGTTACAGTCCATAATAATGGTTGGTTACTAGCCTAAACATGAATACAGTCAAATACATGGTATTCTATACTTTTTTCTGTCAGGAGTTTTTCCCTGATGTTCCTGGCACTGACTCAGTTAAAAAGCATCTTAGGGTATGTCTACACTACCGCGGTAGTTCGACGGCTGGCAATCGAACTTCCGGGTTCGATTTATCGCGTCTGGTCTGGACGCGATAATTCGAACCAGGAAGTGCTCGCCGTCGACTGCGGTACTCCACCTCAGCGAGAGGAGTACCGCGGAGTCGACGGGGGAGCCTGCCTGCCGCGTGTGGACCGCGGTAAATTCGAACTAAGGTATGTCGACTTCAGCTACGTTATTCACGTAGCTGAAGTTGCGTACCTTAGATCGAATTGGGGTGTTAGTGTAGACCAGGCCTTAGTCAAACTCGTGATACAAAGGAAGGATTATGTGGGATTCCAGAGTATGGATTCTGGTTTGGGAGCTTGCTTCTGAATGACACAATTCACCCTGTGGAGAAATGCTTATTATTGAGGGGAAGGATTCATTTTATCTCTGTACTTGCTTTGGTATTGACGTAAAAGAAGCTAGTATAGTTACCATACAACTCCAACCCTACTTTAGTCCCCATTCTCTTTTAATGTAAGGAGTAATTTTCCTTCCACCCTGTTTTGAGGGAGCCATAATTATGCCTAGCTGTGTGAATTATTTGGTTTTAAAAAAACTGAAAATGGTTCTTTTAAAAATTGTAAATTTAAATTAGAGTTTAACACAGAAAAGTTTCTGGCATATGAAAGAAGGGCTCTTGTTTGTTCTTTAATTCAAATAATGTAAGATATGCCAAGTAGAGAAATTCTTTGACTTTTTCATACTTTAAAAGGTGGTCTTGTTGATGAGGTCAAAATAATTGTAACTGCCCCTCACTTACGTTTTATCAATATCTGCAAATAAGGCCCTATCCCAGGAACAGCTTAAATTTATAGCAATAGCAATGAAACAGTGAAATAATAAAGGATTAATTTCTGACATCTACAAAATACTGATTGAAATTGACATGCAGTAATGTAGTAAGTTTTATGAGCAGATGGATTAAAGATTTTAATAGGAAAAATGGCTGAAAATGTAGTAGAAAGGTCAGTCATCTCATATTTGTATTACCAATATGGAAAACTGCTTAAGACTCTTTACCAATGGTATGCTGTTAGCTAACTGAAATGCAATATTTTCAAAGTAGGAACAGCATGCTGGAGGGAATATGGAGTAAAAGGAACTTTTTATCAACATATAATCATTGTGCCCTTATTCATAGCCTCTGGTCCAAAATTAGAGAACAATTAAGGCTACTTACTAAAAATAATATGACTTAACAATGATATAAGGCCTCCCTGAAAAAGAGACCTCTTACAATGGAGAGATCTCTTACAACAGTAAAAGTAGCCTGGTAGCCCATCTGATCTTGACTCAGTAATACGGAGGGAAAAAATTATCCCCCTGCTTTCTTTGCATAGTGCTGTAGAGTATGGGATGTCCTTGCCATAGAAAAGCTCACTCATCAGATTGGGTTAAAACAAGCTAAATATTTGGATATATTGTTGTCTTCCATTAGAGTCACAAAAAGGAAATTAAATAGCAGGAAGGACTGCATGACTTTAGGCTTTCTTGAAATACTGAGGAGGTGCCAATGTGGTTGAGATTTTTTAAATAATGAACGGACTAAAAGATGTATAGAAACAGAAATTTGTCTTACCAGGAGAAATATGTTTTGTTATTGTTAACTATTTAAAGACTATTAAATTGCACATTAAAGCTTCAATTTGTTATGAAAAATTAAATCAGCTTCTGGAAAAATAAATCTTGCACCTAAATATGAGAGTTTTAGCACAGATTACACAGATAAATCTACCCACAATACATTGCTTGAACGCTAACACAGATTCACAAACAAACCTCGCAAATTAGATTTTCATAAAGGTTCAAATGCATGATCTTCCAAATGTGTTGCATGAGACCCATAAATCCCTTTATGGAAGAACTGAAGCTTTTTCACACGTTATAGAAGTGCTTTGGTATGCCGTATCTTTTAATCGTGCTTGTAATAGTGAGGTTCAGAGCTTTATAATATTGCTTGTACCTAAAAATTTTCATGTAAAAGCATTTTACAGTGTATTTATATTCACCTGAAGTATTTCCTGAGTTTTATAATATATAAGAGTCTGCTAGCTTCATTTATGTTAATTTATTTGAAAAAAAAATGGCATTCAGCCAACTCTATGAGCAGTATCTACAGGTTATTTTTTATGTTAAATGCAGAAAGATAAAGTATAGTATATTTTGTACTCATTTGTATCACATTTTACCCAAGTTATCGAAACTCATTGCTTGTTACTTAAATATCGCCACCTCCTAAGCTCTCACTGGTCTCCTAGACCAGTGGCCAACCTGCACAGTTGAGTCTCTGCCATTCATTACTCCTGTTACATCCCATTTCTGCTAGAAACACACTCCTTAAGTACAGTGTGTCTCACATACTGTACTTTGACTATCACTTATTACTAAAGTTAATAGCTCTCATACGTAGACACTGCTGCTGAGATTTTGAAACTCAATCTCAGGTAGAAATTATATTTTCGTCACATGGAACATATTGAACCACTCTACAGAACACTAAAGTGTTTTTTTTTTTTAATTGTAACTCAAGCCACCCTTTTAACCAAGTTGACTGGAATTTCCATCAACAGCTTTCTATTAAGGTGCTATGATCAGCTTAATTGTTCAGTATAATGCTGCCACTATCAAACGTCTTTCAGTATTCACACACACACTTTGGTGCAGCATACTGTTCCTCTGTTTCCAGGCTCTGACTTGTCATCCCTGTACTCCATTTCTTTTTTCACAGCTCAGTGCCAGTGAGATGTCATTTACAGTTTATATCTTCGTTGACCCCCAACATCTAATACTGACAGCTGTGCAATAGACTCAATTATGCTCCTGGGCCACTATTCTACTGCTGCTGACATACAGTTGCAGCTGTTACTACTGACTACTCTGTGTGATGTTACTTTTTTCTGTCATTTTCATTCCCTGCCTGGGAACTAAGTTACTGGTATCAGTAGGCTTTGTAATTAGATCAAACACCCAACATTGAATTCTCCTGTTGTAATATCCAAAGCAATGTAATTACACTTTTTAGATTATTCAAATACATTACATACCCTTTCTAAATAAGCATTGTTCCAAATACTTAAACAAAACAAAAAATAAAAAGAACTCCACATTTACACTGAAGTTAGGCACCTAAGTGTAAGTGGCATGATTTTCAGAAATGCTGACAACCCAGACTCTATTGGACTGAGAGCTCAGGATTGTCACCACTTTGAAAATGAGGCCACTTATTCGGTTACCTTAATTTAAGCATCTACATTTTGAAAATGTTGGCCTTAGTGTTCACATGCAGTTCTAGCTCTATGTTTACATCTGGAGCTCATCACTACCCTCCTTCCTTGATGCTTCTTATATCCTTCAGCATGTTGCTTCCATTAGGACTTGAAAACCTAATAAATCAGGGGGTTGATATTTCCATTGTGCCTCTTCTGCTTCTTTCCATCACCCTTTCCAGACTGAGGCGCTCTGCCGTAATGTGGGTTCTCCATATGGCTGGCATAGTTTGAAGTTCAAAAGTACCTTGTTCTATAGCTTTAAGCATCGTTGAAGGTTCTTCCTGTTTGTATGGGCTGCTACTCCAGCCATATACTGCTGAGACTTCTAATTTCCTGAGTTTTTTTAAGCTGTAGCTCTCAGGGATGGGCATGATCTTGGAAAGCTGTTTTTCTCTCACTCTGGAGCTTGAACTGGAAAAGGATCAGGGAGCGAGAATGTTTCTATCTCCCCAATAAGCACAAATAGCCAAGTAGGCCTGGGAAGAAAAGATCTTTATAAAGATTTCAAGGACCCGAAGACCTATTTTTCATTTTAGTTTCTGACCAAACAGAAGCAAGATTGCTTATGCTAGAAACAGGCAAAATTATTCAGTAAACTTTATAATTCTCTTCTATTTCCTGCTTTGATAAATTTCACTCTTGCCAGGAACAGTAGAAAACTGAGCTCATAACCCTCAAAGCCTGCCAGACAGTTTTACTTTAGTTTATTTAGAAATGCTACAATAAAGAGAGCAAACAACTAAATTAGTGTTTTGTTGAAAAGAACATTAAAATGATTATTTATTATGAATTAATAATTTGATTGTCTGGATTAGCTAACATATTAGATAGCCCAGACCTAACTTCCGCCTCATTCCCCAATCTAGACAAACCCAACAGTAAGCATTAATTACATATAACTGGGAGTTCT